CTGTGGAGAACATGCAGAGAAATGTGAGGAGAATGGATAGAAAGGTGCCTTTAAAGAAGTGTGTGGGCAAACTGCTCTAGTTTTCAACAAGCTCTCCTGGGTGTGTAATAAAAAAATAAATAAAGAATTAAATAAAAAAGCAGAATGTACAGGGCTGCAGAGCCAACATCATATTACAGCACTTTGTAACTTTTAGACTAAGGGGCTAAATTGTATGAAGTTGTACAATGGCAACCATATTATTAAGCTGTAGCATAGTATTATGCAGTACTACACAGTAAAAAAAAAAACGGTAAGTATCCATAACCTGGTTAACAGCAATTTTCCTATACATTTGAAGTCACAATTATTAGCCCTCCTGTGATTTCTTGTTTTTTTATATATATATATTTTCTAAACGATGTTTAACAGACCAATGAATTTTTCACAGTATTTCCTATAATATTTTTCTTCTGGAGAAAGTCTGATTTATTTTATTTTAGCTAGAATAAAAGCAGTTTTTAATTTTTAAAATAATTTTTGGGGTCAATATTAGCTGAGCTTTATTTTGTATTTTCAATTGGATTCAAGTCAAATGATTGGCTGGGCCATTCTACAGCTTGATTTTCTTTCTCTTAAAGCATTTCAGAGTTTCTTTGGCTGTGTTTTGGATTATTGTCTTGCTGAAATGTTCACCCTGGTTTCATCTTCATCCTCCTGCTGATGCAGATGTTGGAATGAAGCAGCGAATATTAATGAAGAAGAGTAGAGGGTTGCTGAAGCACTACTGAGAGATTCCAGCAGCTGTCTGAGCTTTCACTGCCTTTCTACTCCTCCATTTCTTCATGTGTTCAATGTGTTTTCCCTGTGTCATTTCATTTTATTATACCTAACTTAATTTGTAAACTAGTTAGATTTGTTTTCTTTGCATTTATGGATTTTTTTTGGTTGTTACCAACATTGAGGGAACATTTCAATTCAACGGCACCTTTAAAAATATGTTTCCTCAGAGAAATGGTGACGTGTTCAATACTTATTTTCTCCACTGTGGAAATTTATTTTACATTCCCACCCTTATGTTGACGGTAAAATTCCGGCAACCATGGCTACCGCTTTTTTACTGTATATTTTATGATTCTTTCACTTCGGGCCCAATCTCCTTCTACAATTTTTTTGAAGGCCCATATCTGACATTTTTTATCAAACTGATTGTCTAGAGAAAATGCTTATTTCAAACCTTTATTTATAAGCAAAACATTTATTTTGCCTTTACTATTATTATTATTATTATTATATATATATATATATATATATATATATATATATATATATATATATATATATATATATATATATATATATATATATATATAAATATACATACATACACACACACACATTTTTTTTAACTAGGTTAGGGTTAGGGTAGTTAGGTAATTAAGTTATTGTATAATGATGGTTTGTTCTGTAGATTATCGCAAAAAAAATAAATAAATAAAAATACAGCTTAAAGGGGCTAATCATTTTGACCCTAAAATGTTTTTTAAAAAAATTTAAAACTGTTTTTATTCTAGCCGAAACAAAAAAAATATGACTTTCACCAGAAGAAAAAAATATTATCAGACATACTGTGAAAATTTCCTTGCTCTGTTAAACATCATTTGGGAAATATTTCAAAAAGAAAAAACTATTCAAAGTGGGCTAATAATTCTGACTTCAACTGTATATATATATATATATATGTATATATATATATATATATATATATATATATATTTATATATATATATATATATATATAAATATATTTTAATATAGAATATATAATACTATATAGTTATTTATTTTCAATAACACACACTGATTTAAAGCTGCTGAATTTTTCAGGTAATTTTCTACAACTGCAGAGTATTTGGGCATTTTTTAAATAAATAAACCTGAAAGGACAACTTATGACAAAAAAAGCTGTTGCCTTGAATTGAACTGACGAATAATCTATTAATCATATCTATTAAAATAAATAAAACAAAACAAAAGTACAGTAAAGTACTGTTGAAACATCAATCTGTAGGCGGTTAGGTTTTTAGGATATTATTGGAGTTTGTTGACAGTAGTGAACAGCTGTTTACTAAAACACCACAAGTCTCGCTAGATCCTACTGTATGGGCATGCGTCTGTTATAATACACTCGCTCTTGCATTATAAAACATTCATTTGGACACCAAATATGCTGATATTATAAAGAGTCAACACAAAGAGTGCACGCATAGTTTGTGAATCAACAGAGATGTGCAATTCTGATATGAGTCGCAGACGTGCGGCACGCGCAAACTGGTTATAACTCTAACCATCATTACCTTTACATTTGCGGTTTGCTTAATATAGCGGAGCATGTGGTCCTAGTTGACGTGCAACGATTGCAAGTGCAGCCACGATTAAAGGGTCACGAAACACCAAAACACATTTTTTGAGCTGTTGACAGTCGTATATGTGTCCCACACTGCTAAAAACACTATTAGGACACCTATATTTCACTAAAAAGCGTCAATTGGTTGTTTTTGCGTTATTTCAAGCAAATTCGAACTTCCGGTTTGAAACAAATTTTTGAAGCTGCGTCACGGTCATGAGATAATAGCGTGTATTCCAGCGTGCAGACTGGACGTCTGTGCCAGAGTGTGTCTTATTACGTCTTACAGTGTGCTGCATTAATGCATGAGTAAAGCTTGGTTCAAACCAATCAGCGCGCTCTATTGTGCAACTTCATTAATATTCATTACTGTCACAGTGTTTAGACGACAGAGACGCCACGTTGTGTTGGCAAAACAAGCGTGAAGTGTTGCTTTTATAGTTTGCTGCAGTGAAGTTTTGTTTTCATTTTCTCTCTGTGAGAGCTCAGCTGGAGTCACGTGTGGATTAACAGTGTACGCGACGCTCGACAACAATAACTTACGTGTCTAAGGAGGATTATTGTTTACCTGAGAGCTCTTCTCATCTGCAAACGCTGAGATCCGGATTCGCTTGTAGTCTCCCCTTAATAAAGACGCGGCTCTAGTTGCTGGTGATTATTCTGTCTCTACAGATTTGGTAAGTGAGCGACCAGTGCTCTTTGTTTATTCAGTTTGTTCGTATCGAACTAACTATTGCACTGAGTGTAAACATGTTAGCATCACAACCAAACTTTAACCTCGTGTAGGATTTTCACTGCATTTTGTGACCAGAATAACACACGCGGCTTTCTGACGCTACCTGCCGTGTGCATCTAAGTTTCCAGGAAATGCTAAAGGTTTTTTTCTCACATTCGCCGTGCGGGATCAAACATTGCATGAAAAATACACACTTAGAGCAGTTCCTCGAATCAAATATCTCGTTTGTCGCGAGGGGCATGACTGAATTCCCTGAATGAAAGAGCCAAACTGCAGTTAAAGTCCACCATTTAATAAGTTGGCAAATAATTCGACTACAGATGTCCATGTAAACACAGTCACTTTCTCCCCTGTGTGTGTGTGGTTTGACTCTGAAACGCAGCGCGTGCCCAAATAGACACCCCCACACCATCCCTCTTTAGTTCCTCCGAGACTCCCCCCTAAACAGAGCTGGACACGCCCACTTTCCTGACTTTTTCCAAAGTAGAGGTGTGAAAACACCCTGCTGAAACGAGGGCGTTTCATGGCCCTTTAAGTCTGTATTTTACAGTGAGGCTCTCTTTGCCGAAGTATTCAATAACAGAAAGCAGGAAATGCCATTACACCAATCATTTCTATATAAAACAGATTTAATGATGAAATCAAATAATTATAGTTCAATAATTAAGCTATCTTGAGACTCACTGGTTGAGAATCCCTGGTCTTGGGCCACTTTTGAAGCAAACACAATGGCTGTTTCTCAATATGCGTTCTTCAGCGGTCTTGCGTCCTCGTGTTCTCGTGCAACGTCATCATCAGCTGCCTAAGTTCAGTTCCAATACTCAAGATCGCAAGTACGGAGGACACGTGAAACTTCACGGATGTGATCTTGATATCGAGGACGCACTGATGCAGACTTGAGCACCGACTTGCTCTGGAAGTCCCAGAAGTCATTGCGACTGGAGGTGGGAAGCGCATCATTTTATTTAGATTTATTATTAAAGTTCAGAGATATCATTTATTTACCTCAAGAGTTTCCCTAAATGAACCGGTGAAAGTAAACATTACCATGAACATCTTAATAAAGGAATAAACACATTAAGGGTGTTTGTTTGCTGAAATTCGTATTAAAATGTGTTTTATTTATATTGTGCAGAGTATATTTATAATGTTTTTATGCAAAGTATATATTTTGAAGAGGGGAAAAACAATAAATCGTTGTATGAGTGCTGTAATGTTTAAATAATTTCCATCTAAAACGCGTGAAGGTCACGTGACCATCAGGAAGAACGCAGCATCCCATTTCTCACAGGATGCGTTCTCTGCCCTCGCGGTCTCCTGAGTTCGTTCTTCCGATGACACCTGGCAAGCCCGCTCTCCACAAGAACACAAGTCCGTTCTCTGCGTTCTTGGAATTGAGAAACAGCCAATTTATTGAACGGTTGTAATCTTGCCTAGGGTGACAAAAAGTCTAGAAATGGCCGTGCATTTTAGTATGATGTGCTCATCACCCAGTGACCGTCTTGTTTATTGGGGTGGGGTTTTAGGGCTGTGCACAATCACATCTGCTTTAAAAAATCATATTTACTGTACAAGTGAGATATGAATTAAGCATTTTTCAGATCATTTGTAAAATCGTAATGTTTCCTTGTAAGTTCGGGTTTGGCTGACCCTAAAGAACTTAAGAATGTAAGGCAAAAAGTTGCATCTCTTTTTAGGCGAAATTTGGGAAGAACGCCAATAAGATCAAACTCTAAAAAAACAAAGATTAAGAAAACAGAACAAGCGCAATCTTTCATTTGGAAAGCAGCAGTTGCAGGTCCTGTAATTATTGCAGTGTTGCCACATTAGCTTGTGTCCATGCCACCCTACCGCTGTGTGTAGGGGGTTAATGACGGC